GAGCAATTGATCGGTTTTTCACAATTCCCCGCCCCCCTCCCCCCCCCCTCCTTATCACCCCAATACGCACCTCACATTCTTCGATATCGGTCCAAATTGACGGATATTTCAAGTTTCCCCTTTCTGTGAATGCATACTCACGGTTAATCTATCATCACACAGCGTGCCACGAAATTCTCTTGGCCGTTACCTCACTCAAGTCGAAATGAAAAAAATTGCTCATTGTTCTCCATAACAAAGCACGGAGCGTGTCATGATTTTTGCGAATTGAGCGGTTCTTCAGATCAACCAAATAAGACCATTAAAACCTGTGACCCACAGATGCACTCCTCTTTCACTCACTCTTACCTTGTGCTTGTCAACTCAGGAGCATCACTAGCAATGGAGAACTGCGCTGTCGGACACCGGATTTTACCCGGAAGCTTCAGTAGTTGTCTCTGCAAAAACGCAAATGTTCACCTTCGTGGTTCAGTTATAACAAATTTATAACATTTCCAGTCGTGCTGAACAGTCTATCCCGTTGACATATGTACGTTTGTCTGCCGAAGGGAATGTGATGAGGAACTCAATTTCTACAAGCTGTTTCCAGTGGTTGAAATTTCGAAATTTCGATCGACCCGGTCTCAAACACCCTCAAAATCCTCTTAATGCGGGATACGGTGTGCAATTGGCCCGTACTGTAGCAACGCGAAGGGCGATTCGCACTGCACATTATCTGATGGAGATGCAATGAACTTTTTTCACCATCTGTGTAATGGCTCTAGCCTAATCGTCATAAATCACATTAGTTTGTAGTTACCGTTCTGCCTGGGAGCCTTTGGTTCTACCTCGTTAGCACGTCGTGATCGGTCAGTTTTGTTGCCTTACAGTATTTTGGAAAAACTGGTCGAAATTCGTTTCCAGGCGACTCAGAAATTAATCTAACTGCTCTTTTTATGTCTTTCTTATGTCCTCATACTGGGTAAAGAACTGTCTTGCGACATTGTCGGAGTTTTTTGTGTCTGGAACGGTACTGTTCGAATGCCGCCCGGAAAGGCGAAAGTTTTTCCCGGATCCAGCGCGTTAATTTTGCTGACTGATTTACTTGCCTTTGAAGTCCCCGCGAATTCTGATTTCTATTTTAACCGGATTCACAGATCGATTTCGGAGCCCTTTCTCCCTTGTTTGCCAAATAAATCAAGGATATTGAGATTAGGTCTCTTTTGGATATTTATGCGTTGTATTTTCGATGTTTTTTGTTGTTGATTGAGATAAACCTTTCGTCGTCAATCATCAATGGGCATGAAACAGCGTGGTGTTGTAGGAACTGTGTGAACAGTTTTTAAGTGAATTCCGTTCGTTTGAAATATTCCCTTTTCGATCCTACATTGTCTATGTTGTGTAAGAAATAGTAGTAGTAAGCAAATCCTATTTATTCCGACCGTTAACTTTTCGCGCCCGGCGATTTCCACCTCCTGACTCATCTCTCTCTCTCTCTCTCTCCTTTACTTGTTCTGTGCATTTACTGGCAGCTATCCGGTCCACCTCTTTCTAACCGTTTGAGTCTTGTCTGGGATGCACCGGAAGATGACGGTGGTCTGCCTATTCAAGCTTATCGTCTCGAAGTTCGTCTGCCGTATGTGCCGTCAGCGGACAACACAGTCCAATCCAGTCACATGTCAGATACCTGGTCAGATATGAACAAATCGTTGTTGGGAACTGGTGTGGACAAGTTGCTCTGTTGGCCACGGGCTATTGGTTAGTTTGTGCTTATTGAAATTTTCCTTGATCTTTCTTTTCTGATTAATAAATCATTTTTGTCCCTTAGTCAATTTCTGTCCTCTCATCAAATCCACAAAAAGACATGAATTCTGAACTGCCACTCAGTGCCCAATTCACGATCGCACTGTAGACCCGAATGGAACTTCATTGGTTTCAGCGCGGAATTCTTGATTTTTCTGATTCTCAGCACGGATTTTTCTTTTCCAGCCAAACACAACAATCTGCCATTTAGGCGAAAAAAAGACTTCCACACTACTGGTTTCATCATATGCCTACGGTGTGATGATTGATTATCACGGGGTTTCAAACACGAGTCGCATGAGCAGGGCAATTGTCTCTTGATTCGTTATTCGCGGATTCTGGTGTACCCAATTTGGTTATTGCCCTCTCCCAAGTCATGTCTTCTGTGCTTCCTCCTATCTCATCCACCATTTCGGGTACTTCGACAAATAGTAGTCTACTGTGTTTTTCCGAGAATCGTTTGTGTATCAAGGAAGGAATTTAGTGAATATTTGGTGCATTTCGACGCACGACCGTCGCCGGATGCACTGAATGCACTAGTCTCGGATCAGCTCGTTCCTGGTACAACGACCAGACAAGCAATGTCCCGGGTTAGACCGAGTTTTAGGCGCGCATTGGGGGCAAATGCGATCGATGACTGGGTGGCTGTGTTGCTCATATTATCGGATGAACTTTCTCGGTGTGCAATGCTTGCCGAGGCAGCTTGTAGTCGAAATAAGGTCCATTTTGTAAAATTATTATCAAAACTCTCCCCGGAGAAGGCTCACTCTTATTGTGACACTCGTGCAATGGCACTTCCGGACCAGATCTATAGTGCAACTGATTTAATCTTTTCCAATCATTTCGTTCTGATTGATAGACCAAATGGATAGCCAAAATACAGCAGCAGCAGCCTTTAGTTGCCATGTGAAATTCTGGGGCTATCCACAATTGAAATTGACAATTTCAATAGACGAAAATTTCACAACTTGTTAAGTCCATGAACAAAAAATAATCATGCATCTTCGGTGCAAAGTGTGCCTCACGATGTCCCAGTTCCCAGGTTTTTGTTACATCCCGCTCGTGTTTGAAAATTTTTATCAATATTTGGTGTAGTATCGATTCGATGTTCGATTGTTTTCGACTCAGGAAACTTCTCATGCGTTCGTTAGGCGATCGGTGGTGTACACAGGCTTAGTGTTTAGTGCTTGCACGGTGAAATTGGTTGACAGCAAGTCGCCCCACCACCTTTGTGTTCTTTGGATTGGTTCGGTTGTTTCACTGTTCGCGGAAGAACTTTCCCAAATTGTCAACTCGTTATTTATAGTAACTCAACGGCAAACGGGGAAAAAATACACCCAAACTGCATCGACTACGAAGATCCGTAACGCATATACATAAATCATAAATACCAATACACGTGCGCGTCAAAGTTATGAAGACCATCAATCATTGCCACTTGAGTGCAAGAAGTGTTACGAAGTAAAACGTTTAATGTTTCCCTGGTAAAGTGGTTTCACCACTTTGGGTCCAGTCTTTTTCTCGTATCTCTCTCTCTCTCTCAACTGGCACTCAAACTCTACTCACTGGGTACTTGTTCTCACCCTCGTTTTCTCATAAACCGAAATCTCAGAACGTAATGTTTTTTGTGGCTTCAATGGGTCAACGATCTGCTCTTCGCGTCAGCTGCTTTGTAAAAATAGACTGTGACTGGTTCCAGTCTATCATCCAGAATACCGAGGTTTAGTGGATGTTTTTTTCGCATGTAACACTGCAATTTATCTGTTCGAAATCCGCAGGCCTAAATTCCTAGTTTGTTTTGAAATTTATTTTGCAAGACGTTTCTACCTCTACCGCCCGACTACTAATCCACCTGATAGCATAATTTTGTGGCCCATGACAAAGCCACTTCCATTGTTTCTGTAATTCTCCTAAGTGTCATATATGAAACTATTGGTGTCATACATATATATATTTGAAAATAAGTAATATATGAATGACTGGGCAAAATTTCCCCGAAAGCACACGACCGGTTTCGTGGCTCTTGCCGTTCGTCAGGTAGTCTTTTGCCAGTTCATTCACATACTTGTACTCAGAAAGTGTATTTTCGTCATAATAATCGTGTTTGCAACACTGCGTGACTTTTGGATAGACAGATCTTTCACAGCCGGTCCATTGAAGAATCAATGCGATGATTCGATAATTTGTAGGTGAGTAAGATGCTACTAACCTATATATATATATATATATATATACATTCACTGAAAATTCCCATCGTGACATTGACAGAACAACACGAGTAGCAAATAAGCTCGTTTTCGATAACTTCATCCTCTGGCTAATACAGTTATATACATTGAGTGAATAAGTGTGCAACAAATAATGTCAGAACGAAAATGCGTTGATTGGACGATATGGAAGTGATGAAGAGTGGTTGGGAAAGACGTGTAAACAAAAATTGTTACTCCGTGGTTTAGAATAGGGAATCGTGAAAACAGCCAAAAGAGAGGGAGGGGGAAAAGGGATGAAACAGGAAGGGTGAGGTCACACACACTTAGGTCAAGGGGTCACGAGAAGGGGCCATGGGTGAATTGACGTTCAATGTCGGGTCTGGGCCAGGGAAACTGTAGGGCTTTAACAAATTGTTTTATTTTGTGAGCCTAGAGTTGGTCGCAATAACCTTATTGCTATCGCCTCTGCTGTCGCAAGATGGCGCTGTCGGAGGGTTTTGGAGGGGTTTGGTGGTATCTTGTAGATAATTTTGTACGCATCCTCAGTTATCTGATGTCCGGTATCTACGAGGTGCGACCTGATTGCACTCGAAACGGTCCTTGTGGTTCCCCTGTTTGACCAGGCCGGTTTGTGTTCCTTGATTTCTTGAGGAAAACTGCCTGATCGTCCTGCCTATGTAGCTTGCCGAACATGAGCGAACAAAAGAATAGGTCAACATGAAGGAAGTGAGGATAGGCAATTTATCT